ATATATTTATTTTAGAAACGCAATAATAAAAGTCAATCGATTATTTATAAGTCAATTTAAAAAAATTCCTTCGGACCTTGCAGCTCTTCAGGATTTTTTTTCTTGCATTAATCTAACTTTGGTATTTGCACTAGTGTACTTTGATACGCAATTATTCTAACCCCTTATTATTTTACATTATAGCAAGAGCCCTATGAAAATCCTAATAAACGTTAGCTGTTTAGACCAACTAACATACTTAGAAACGAAAAGACAAAAAACACACAAACATACTCAGAAAAATGGAGCAGTAGATGGTAACAAGTGGCAAAGTGTCTTGTAAGACCGACATCATTCGCTTCCCTCTAAAACACAACTGCTGTCGAAGAATCGTGGAACTTAAATGCGGTTATACAACCTAAATACATACATTTTATAGGTATGTTACCTATATTTTTATAGGTACGTTAAACATAAATATACATCAGCAATCAACATAGTACTTTAATTTAGCTCATTTTTATTAAATACAACATATTAAATTTATATTGATTAATAATAATAATAATTAGTCATTATTATAAATAATGAGTGCATGATTGTTACGGTATATAGGGCTAATATATTACAACTCACATAATTTATGATATTCCACGTATACCACATGATGAGAAAATAAATATATGCCAATTTATGTAAACAAAAGCACACAAGACACTTTAACTTTGCTGACAATAAACGCATTTTATAAACAAAATCAATATAAATATTATTCAGACCTGAAACAGTTTAAGCTAAAGCTAACAATCTTAAAACGGCTCATGACAGAAGGAACTTTTATGACTTTCAAATGTTTAAATAATTAAAGAAAATCAATTTTTGCTTTTAACAATTTTTTTGTTAAGGCTAAGTTTATGTAATATAGGCGTATAATAACGTGCATTGCAATCAATATATTTGATGTAATTTATGTTATTCCATGTATTCCTCGGTTCTACATCAGTTACAAACTTAACCTATACTGTACGAACTACAGCAAAAAAAAACCTGACTGCAGTGAGACATTATTAGTATTATATTATGATACACTTATTTATTTATCTGCATTGCTTCCCTCCACCCAGGAGTATAAATGGGTACCTGGTGGGGTTGCCTGCTACTGCGCCAAGATGGCAGCAACACTAAAGCATGTCGACCCAATGACTAGGGACAACAAAGCGCTTTGTAACCTGAAGAAATAGGCGCTATTTTTTTATTTTATTTATTTATTCCAAATCAACAGCGAATCATCGCCACTAACAGGCAGGTATAAAAATCTAGCAAAAATCACAAACTTCATACAAATATAATATGATAAAATATTACAAGGTAACAAACACAAATTTAAAATTGCTTATAAATTTCGAAGTACAAGAGCCATGAAAATTTTTATAAAAAAAAAAACTGTTATAAAAAATGTCAATATTATTAGAAAAAGAAATATAATTAAATTGCATAGGAATCCTAGAAATAAAACTACGTTTACAAACATCAAGTCTACTAAAAGGAACATTGAAAACAGGACAAGAACGTAAATTACGGGAATTCACATTAAGACCAAACAGTTGAACAAAAAAATAGTAACTAAAAGACGAATTAACACATTTGTTAACACTACAATACTCAAAATTGGAAGCGACTAAATTACAATATAAACTAATAATGGCACCAGGATTTTTAATGTCTCTGCAATGTCTCCAAATAAACCCAAGCATTTTGTTCCCTTTAGAAATTATATGATCAATATGCTTAACAAACGTAAGTTTAGAATCAATAACAACACCTAATTCACGATGAATAAAAACTCTAAAACATCGTCTCCAATATTATAAGAAGTGAAACAGACATGGATTTGGAGACATTCAGAGACAATCCCCAGTGCCTACTCCATGCAACAACAAAGTTGAGATCTTCCTGAATACCCTTGGCATCCGCCTCGGAGCCGACAACACGTTACAACTTTAGGTCGTCAGCATACATACGTATATATAGGATATAAACAACGTACATATCACATTATGGCTCTATTAATAGCGACTATGTTGCATGCTAAGTACATGTTAAGGTCATTTTGTAATAGTGACCAACTAACTTCAATTCACTACAATTCAAGATGCAGACTTTCGCTGCCAGTATACTTGCGATGTTTTATAAATAAAAATACAGTATTATGAAAGATACTAGGAAAGCAATTAAATATATTTTATATACCGTAACTCTCGGCATAGCAAAAGTGAAGGTAACTTCCACGCATAACCAGACGTACGCCGCTCTCTTTCGGCTAATGATGGAAACTCTATCACGAACCAGAGTACGGTCCTAAGATTCTGCACCGCTTTTGTGTTTGTCTTTTTTTTCCTTTTGATTTATGCCTAATTGTTTTGTGATTTATTTATGCCTACTTGTTTGTATCTTATGGTTAATGACAACGATTTCTACCTCCGCCAAATAGACTATGTATTCACGTTCATTCATTCTTTTTTTTTTATATCACGACGTACACGACACCACATTTTTGTACTCCAACCAAGCATTTTCCTTGCTACCGTTTTGTTTGTTTTTTGTCTATGCTCGTTTCCATACAATCGCTACACAGTCTACAACTAGTTTACTAGAACTCCCTGATTCAACTGATCAATCAGCGTCACAAGGAGTCGGCGATAACTTGTAGCGATTTTTATGCAAACCAGGCTTACCAGACGTACGCCGCTCTCTTCCCGCTGATGAAAACTCTATAACGAACCAGAGTACTATGATTAATTTCAGATGAGATAGTATAATACTACATACTCCAAGTATCGAAATGCACGCCATCGTGTCGGGATTCAATATTTCGACATTAATTATGTCATCATCAGGAATACAAAATTATCCACATTTGCAAGCTTATTTATATGCACAAATATCAAAAAGCATCGCAACCAGCCCCATGCCAATACTCTTATTCACTAATTCATGATGTTGTATACACAGTACCGGTACTTTGTAAATAAAAAAGACAATATGGTACTTTGCTTCAATTATGCATTTTATTTAATGGTTAATGGTTTTTAATTTATAGAGCGTGGAAATAGGGAAAAAATAAATTAAAGGGACGAGAATAAGTGGGTCTTAAGTCGTTCTTTGAAAATGGTGACAGAAGGTGACTCACGAATAAATAACGGTAACAAGTTCCACAACTTGGGCCCAGCAACCATAAACGATCGCTCCCCACAAGACTTTAACCGAAAGGATGGACAATAAAGATTGGTTGAGTCAGTTGTTGACCGGAGGGAACGAGTGCAAGTTGACATTATTTCCTTGACATCAACGAAAGTACATTGCACCCTCCATTCGAGACCCCTCTAATACGAAACCACGTTTTCAAAGAATGATATAACAATCTTTAACCTTGTAACACAAAGATAACCCTATACGTGGGGTGGCTAGAGTCATGTCATTATCATCCTCTATGGGCGACGAAGCAAATTATTATTTTTTTAAACATGCATCATCAACACCATCATAATCATCATCATCATTCTTAATATTATGGTACCATTATATTACAATTTTAAAACTTAAATTATAAAATCTACAAAAAAATACCACTTAATATTCAAAGCATAATCATACAGTTCAGAATCAAATATAGTTAACTATACTAATCTTATTTATTCATTTCAAAATTCTTGGTTAAATGTCAATAAAAATTAGTATTTTTTCTTAACATATTTACTCAGTTTTAATAACACCAAAGAGTATAGAACTGCTAGAGGTCCGACTTTCGTGGTTCCGTCGGAACGTAATCCTATTTCAAAAAGTACTCCCACGAAGTGGCGTGTCCTTATAACAAGACGAGTTTCGAGCGAACTCTATTCGAATTCTAATAGTGCGCCCCTATCTTGTGGTAGTAGTATTGTCCCAAGACAGCGCTACTAACGAGCAAGTTAATTTTAGGACAGAATAAGCTTAAATCTGAAAAAAAAAAAAATCGAGTATGGACGCCAAATAAATTAGGTATGGCGCGCACTAAGCGCAATAAAGTGTAAGTTACCCAGATTAGGGCCTGGAACCCAGGCTAGCCAAACATAAGCGTAGGTTCGTAACTTACACCATCACATAGAGATTACAACCCCGTGATTCAAGGCATTCAGTGATATCTCCTCCATATTCAAGAACATGACACATCATTCCATCCGATGTCTGCTGTACCTGGAACGCGTTACAACGACCAACCGCAACGCAATATTGAAGGCATTCTATCAAACTTCTTGTCTGTTTGCTAGTAATGGTCAATTCGGCCAATGCATCAGGATTCATGCAAACTAGCTGTCCCATTGTATTCTTCACCGCCCTCATGTGCAATTCAATGCTTTCTGAGAATTAAAGCCATGAATCATATTATTATGCGAGAGCTTGTGGTGCCGACCGAATAATAAAAAAAAAATTATTAATTTAGATAGACATTATAATCCCTATTTTGCTAATGAATCAAGTTATCCTGTTTCTAGGTTGATTACCTATTAAATTTAATACCGCATTCACGTGGAATTCAACGCTTTTTTTGAAAGTTAATACAATGAATGAGTGGGCCTATTTAGGCTACCTGAGTTGTCTATACACACTGTACTAAACTTTGATTTCATTGTTTTACGGCAAGGAGTCGATTTGTGAGGTGTATTTTATCTCGATTTTAGAACTTGGACATTATTGTTTATCATTCAAACATTTGTCAAAAAGCGGAACAATTTAGGCAAGAACTTATTTGTACAAAAAATTTATTGATTTACGGTTAGGGTGGGACAGCAGGATATAAAACTGATCGTTTCTGTAAAATATATCATTCCTCGTCTAGTCTTCCTATTATCACTAAACTCACTAATTTAACGAGATACAATACCAACCATGAAACCTTAGTCAACCAATAGTTATGGCATTTATTTAATTCTAATTTACTACCAATTCTATTTTACAACCACCACTTGTTCCCAAGGTGTACGTAACTCGGAGTTTTACATTCCATCTGTTCAGTCACTTCTATAATAAGTAAATACAGCCATTATATATTTTAAGGATATGTTTGTAGGCCTATATGCACTTAAAAACGGAATAACTTTCGAAAAATAAACAACGAAATGTAATTAAGTTCATACATAAACATAGGAGACGCTATTACCTTTTTCACAAACGGCAACAAGATTCCAACTATTACAAACCGATCCCATCCACTTGCCCGTAATGACCATCCTCGCACACTTTTTATATTTAGGCAAATAAGTCGACGTATCGTCATCCCAATCTATAATTTAAAAACATACATAATATAGGCCTATAGACATCAAAACAATCTAAATTCATTTTCTTTTTACGTAGCACGTATAAGAACTATTATTATTCGTAGGCCTGTCCTAGAAATAAACTTCTTAAAAGCCAATAATTATGACAATATAAGATACCAAAATGCAGTACTGTCACGCTTACCAAGTCTTGAGTTACAAGACGAACGTTCGTTTCCTAATATTCTTTTTGTGTTCTACTGTTTTTCTCAAAGTTTCGTATAATTCTATTGAGAGTTATAAAATACATTATAGGTACGTACATCTGAAGTCGAAGTTACATGGTTTCATTGTCCATTCCCATACTCCCTCCGTTTTCTGTCTGTTTAAGCCAATCCACATATGTTCACGGCCTTTAGGAAATAAAGAGTGAACGAACTGGTTTTCCTCTAAAGATGATATCCTTGTCAATGATGCTCCAATGGATTCGCAATATTGTAGACTATTGTTCCAAGAGTAGGTCACTTTGCTTACGGTATAAGAACTCCCTTCAAAGTGATGCCATTCAACTGACGTCACGCCTATATATATATAATATAAATCAAGATAGCCGTTAACACTGTTAAATTATATATAATAAATCATCAAAGAAAGGTAAATACAGTGTTTAATAAAGTACATTAA